GCTTCCCTCAAAATGGAAGGCCTGCCTCTGGAAAAAAAAAGAGAAGAAAAGAAACGAAAGAAAAGGAATTTTCTTTTTTGGGGAAAAAAAAAAAAGAAACGTGTAGTTTTTGTGCATTGCAAATTTGAAGTAGGTCGCGATTGATATGTAGATGATCCGTGCCCGGAAATCACAAGCGGGCATTCTAATCTCCTGGCAATAAAATTAGCTGCTTGTTCATCATGATACACTGAATTTTTCTCTTCTATTTATTTTAATTGCACAATGTGGATCAATAGCAATAGCTCTTAGACTTATATACCGCTTCACGGTGCTTTCCAGCCCGCTCTAAGCAGTTTACAGAGTCAGCATATGTGCCCCCAACAATCTGGGTCCTCATTTTATTGACGTCGGAAGGATGGAAGGCTGAGTCAACCTTGAGCTGGTCGGGATCAAACTCCAGGCTGTGGGCAGAGTTAGCCTGCAATGCTGCATTCTAATCACTGGGAGGGAAGGAAGGAAGATAGCAACAGGATCTAGACTTATATACCGCTTCACAATGCTTTCACAGCCCTCTCTAAGCAGTTTACAGAGTCAGCCTATTGCGCCCCCAGCCACGGGGTGTGAAAACACAATGGTGGCGGCCTGTTTTTGCGCCCTGTGGCGCAGTGTCCAATTTTTCCACCCCACAGCTGCAGCGCTAGCACAAGTGGGAAGGTGTGAACCACCCGTGTACACAACGGCCACCCTGTCCCATGGCCCAGTGGCCAGCAGGCCACAGGCCACTACCGGGCTGTGGACCCCAGGTTGAGGACCCTTCTTCTAGGGTTTATCACTGACATCTGAGCTTATGATATCATTGCCATAAAATAAATTGGGCAATTTGCTTTATAGATAGTTCTCAACTTACAACCATTCGTTTAGCGAGTGTTGGAAGTTACGTCGCTGAAAAAAAGCCTGTCCTCGCGCTTACGACCGTCCTAGCCGTGCCATGGTCATGTGGTCCAAAATTGGGTGCTTGCCAACCGACAGGGGTTTAAGACTGTTATAGCATCCTTTGTGACCTTCCCAACCAGCTTTCAACATACAAAGTTAACGTGGTTATTAACTGTGGTTAACGTGATTTGCTGAACAGCCACAGCCAAAAAGATTTTAAAACTGGGTGTGACTCACTTAAAAACCGTCTTGCTTAGCAATGTCAGTCATAAGTCACAAGTTGAGGGACCTCCAGAGGACAGACATGACTGTGGCCTCCCTTGAATTCAAATAAAAGGGATCGCAAAATGAATTCAAATAAAAGCGATGGTAAAATTGGGTCAGGTCCAAAAGCTGACGTGACTTGAGNATAGATAGATAGATAGATAGATAGATAGATAGATAGATAGATGATAGATAGATAGATAGATAGATAGATAGATAGATAGATAGATGATGAGATAGATAGATAGATAGATAGATAGATAGATGATAGATAGATGATAGATGATAGATAGATGATAGATAGATAGATAGATAGATAGATAGATAGATAGATAGATAGATAGATAGATAGATAGATAGATAGATAGATAGATGAGAGGATGAGCGGATATAGATAGATAGATAGATAGATAGATAGATAGATAGATAAGAGGATGAGATAGATAGATAGACAGACAGACAGACAGACAGACAGACAGACATAGACATACATAGATATAGATATAGATATAGATATAGATATAGATATAGATATAGATATAGATATAGATATAGATATAGATATAGATATAGATATAGATATAGATATATAGATGATATAGATATAGATATGGATGCTGAAGGCACTTTCTGGAGATCATGGCCCAGAATTCCTCAGCTGGTGGAGCCATCATCAAGCCTTCTGAGTGGAGACGTGGAACCCACACATCTGACTTGGGCCTGTTAAGGGAAGGACGACATTTTGACCTGGACAAAACCATGGGGAAGATAAGAATATCCCGGGCAGGGATCCAGAATGGCGACTACGGATAATAACTGTCTTTGTTTAAGGTTTAAAAGAAATATCAAAGCAACGTCATCAAATTGACCTGACTTGAGGTGTTTGTTTATTTATCTGTAGATCAATCCATCAGATTCATGGGCAATTAGGATGGTTGACTTAATCCTGATTAAATGTTATCATTTCATTCATGGGGACACTGGGAAAAAATAAAAGGAACAGTTCAGCCTGCCCTTTGTTCTAAGTTCAAGAGGAACATCAGAGAGGTGTCATCATTTGAGAAGCTGAGAGGAGGACACGGACATCAGACCGAGAGTTCCTGTGACCAGCCGGTTCCTCCATTGTCCACCAAGATGGTTCTCCTTCCTTCCCTCCTTCTTATCCTCGCCTGCCTGTCAGGATCCTTCGGCCATGAAGGTGAGGCTTAAACCCATGTAGGAGCAGCTCCATCTGTCCATTGAGGGTCCTGTGGTCTCCAGAAGCTGGGTGAACTTCTCTGAACTTTTCATTGGCGTTGCTCTCAATGGGGCTGTTGGTCTCCTGTTCATGGTAGAGCTAGTTGGTCATGGAGAATGTCAAATTGTAAGTCTGTGGGTTGATTTCCACACAAGATCCTTCTGAGGTGGGTTCAGCCAAAGCCCAGGTAGAGTTTCCATCAGTAAGGGGTGACCTGAACTCTTGGTCCACCATCTTCTCACTGATGGTCTTGGTTGGGAAGGAGAAGCTGGCCTGGTGTCCCCCCAAGGAGTTTCAGAGGCCAAGTAGAGGTCCTTCAGACCTCACGCTGAGTTCAACACCTTTGTCGCTATCACACCCTATTCCAGGTATATGGACAACAACACAATGTGGTTTTTCCGATGAGCAATTTAGTAGTACGTTAAAGCAGGATTAGTAGATACTGGAAAAGATATAGGTAGTCCTTAACTTATAGCCATTTTTTAAGCGACCATTCCATGCTACAACGGCACTGAAAAAACCAACTTACAAGCAGTCTTCGCACTTATGGCCAAGTCAGGTCAATGGGGGAAGCCAGATTTACTTAACGACCGTGTGACTCAATTAGCAACTGCCTTCTAGTCCCAACTGTGGTCGTAAATTGAGGACTACCTCTAAAGGACTCTCTTTTTGAAAAATCCCAGTTGCTTTTATCACCCTATCGCTATTTCGTTGGGCATTTTATAGCCCAGCATTTTATAGCAATATTTCCAGTGCGATTACAAAGATCAGGGTTTATTAGGTGGCTGACCCGGAGTAGCCGTTGAGTAATTTTTTCCTCCTCTATTCAAAGGGACGCATTAAACATAACCCCAAATCTTGGTATTTGTCTCTGAAGAGGAAAAAGCCGCACTTTCCTCTAATTCCAGCCCAAGTTTGTCCTTCGGGTCATTTCCACCTTGCCATTTTGCTGGACATAAAAAGGCCACAAATTGAGCAGGAGGAACTTATGACTCAGACTTAACAAAGCACCTAAATTTAAAATTAGGCAGCAATCAATTAAAAAGCATAAGAGAACTAGGAAGGCAGAATCTTCAGCTGCCCGCACTGGCATTCTCATCGAAAATAAAAACTGAATTAGAAGTTGAAGCAGCCACTTCGATTCCAATTAAATTATTCTATTATTCTTCTATTCTATTCTATTCTATTCTATTCTATTCTATTCTATTCTATTCTATTCTATTCTATTCTATTCTACTCTACTCTACTCTACTCTACTCTATTCCCATTCTCTTCTCTATTCTATTCTATTCTATTCTATTCTATTCTAGTCTAGTCTACTCTACTCTACTCTACTCTACTCTACTCTACTCTACTCTACTCTACTCTATTCCCATTCTATTCTATTCTATTCTATTTTATTCTATTCTATTCCCATTCTCTTCTCTATTCTATTCTATTCTATTCTATTCTATTCTATTCTATTCTACTCTACTCTACTCTACTCTACTCTACTCTACTCTACTCTACTCTACTCTACTCTACTCTACTCTACTCTACTCTACTCTATTCTATTCCCATTCTCTGTTCTAGTCTAGTCTAGTCTAGTCCAGTCTAGACTAGTCTAGTCTTTCTTGCTCAGGACTCAAGTTCCTCTTATCTCTCCACTGTTTTTAGCAGTTCTCCTTCGCCTTAACAACATTGTGTTTTTAGCCGCTCTCCTTCCCTCCGGTCGTAGGCCGGTGTCCTGCTAACAGAGACGTCTTTTGTCCCCTTGCAGATCTCCAGAAGAAGGTCTTTATTTTCCCGGCCGCTAACAAGAAGGCCGCCGTATATCTGAACGTCTCCTTTCCAGAGCCCTTGACCAACTTCACCGTCTGCCTGAGATACTCCCCCTTGCAGTTCCGCTCCTATACCCTCCTCTCTTACTCTACCAAGCACAAGAGCAAGGATTTCCAGATTGTTAAGCCCAACTCTCACACGTATAACCTCATAGTAGGTGGGCTGAGCCAGATTATTGGGCCTTTGAAGCAGTTAGATGCGGAGTGGCAGCACGTCTGCGTGGCCTGGAACTCCACCAGTGGCGTGGTCCATTGCTGGCTCAACGGAGAGCGCCTCCCTCGGTTTGTGATGAGGAAGGGTTACAAGATGGGCCAAAACGGGACCCTCTTCCTGGGGCACGGACTGGATTCCTGGGGGAAGAAGGAATGCTTCCTGGGAGAAATGGCGGATGTGAACCTATGGCTCCGGGTCCTGACAGACGAAGAAGTTAATTCGGTCAAGAAAAACGACGACGTCCCCAACGCTTGGCTCAGATGGAGAGCCTTTAATTACACCGCCCAGGGTGGGGCCTGCGTCGAAGAGGCTCTGCACCACGTTTCCTGAGCGCCTGATAGGCAGGCCCTGCGTTCGAGAAAGAAGAGGAAAACAAACAAACAAACAAAAAAATACGGAAGAAAAGCAATTTTCTTCGGGAAAAATAATAATAATAATCATCATCATCGTCATCATCCCTAGCTTTGCAAATGCATTGCAGGTAGCTTGAAATAGATCGTGATTGATCTGGAGACGGTCCACACCCGCCAATCACGAGGGGGGGGGGCGTTCAAATCTCCTGGCAATAAAATTAGCTGCTTATTCATGATTCGTTGAATGTTTTTTCCCCCTCTTTGGTTTTTAAACTGAAAAGAAAGATGTCAACGCTGCAAATACTGTATATTCTTGCTTTGACAATATGCAGAACTGTCTGGTATTTTTATAGTTAAATCAGGCAACAGGGAAAGGGGAGGAGAATAAGGAAAGCCCGGAAAAAGAAACCGGAAGTAAATCACATCTTCCAAGTTAATTGGAAGATGTGAACCATGACCCCAAAATAGAGGCAGGGAAAAATGCCTGGAATGTCTGTGCAATGGAAAAGAATCTCAGATCTAAGCATTTCCACCATGCCGTACTGACGTCTCTGTAACCTTAATAAATGCTTTTAGGATAAAAATATGCCTGAAAGTCCTTTGAAGTGTTTCGTTAATCAGACACATGACATCCTTGTGGGAGGGGATTGTGCCCTTTTGTGGCAAGAGGCCTGGCCAGAAAGCCTGCCAGTTTACCCGCTGCTTAGACTACTGCAACAGACGTTGCCTGGGGCTGCCCTTGAAGATGACTCCAGAGTGACTGTTGACATTTGGGGCGGGGTTTTCGTGAGACCGTCGCTTCTGTTTCACAGCCGTTCATTTAGCAGCCTTTCCAACTTGCAATGCCACTGAAAAAAAGGGACTTACGGCCAGTCCTCGCGCTTATAACTGTCGTAGCATCCCCACGGTCACGTGATCCAAATTTGGGTGCTTGGCATCCGGCTTACATTTAACGGCAGCTGCAGCATCCCAAGGTCTTGCGGTCACTATTTAGGACCTTCCCAGCCAGCTTCTGACAAGCCAAGTCAATAGGGGGGGGGAGATGGATTCAGTTAACGACCATGTGATTCACTTAACAACTGCAGAGGTTCACTTAACAAAGTGAACCCCCCCCCAAAAGGTCACAAAACTGGACCTGATTCATTTTTAACAACAGCCTTGCTTAGATGTTTTGGTCCCAACTGCGGTCATAAGCACAGGTAGTCCTTGACTTACAGCATTTCTAATAATAATAATAATAATAATAATAATAATAATAATAATAATTCATTTAACAACTGTGGCTCTGGTTGGGGAAAGTTGTGATTGGGTGGAAGAACCACTTGCTAGAATAATAGAATAGAATAGAATAGAATAGAATAGAATAGAATAGAATAGAATAGAATAGAATAGAATAGAAAGGAAATATAGAATGGAATAAATAGAATAGAATAGAATAGGACAAATGAAGAATAGAATAGAATAGAATAGAACAGAACAGAATAGGATTTAATAGAATAGAATATGTAGAATAGAATAGAATAGAATAGAATAGTTGGAAGGGACCTTGGAAGTCATCTAGTCCAACCCCCTGCTCAGGCAGGAAATCCTATACCATTTCGGACAAATGGCCGTCCAGTCTCTTCTTAAAAACTTCCAGTGTTGGAGCACTCGCCGCTTCTGGAGGCAGGCGGTTCCACTGGTTAATTGGAAGTTCCACTGATTAATTAATTAGTGACTGTTCGAAGTTACAAGGGGTTCGAAGGTACAATGGAATTGAAAAAAAAGTGACTTGCCATCATTTTTCACACTTACGACCATTGCCTTATGGTAAACCGCGATTTACATCCAGCTGTTTCACAGCTGACTCACACTTATGACGGTCGCAGTGTCCTGGGTCATGTGATCCCCTTTTGTGATAAGAAAAGTCATAAAAATGGAGCAAATCTCTTAACACATTTCTAACTTAGCAACATAATTTTTGGCCTCCGTTGTGATCCTGAATGTCTGTGGCATGACTGGCATAGAGTCATTTGGAAAAGATCAGCATAGAAATAGCAATAACGACAAAAATGAGCTACAACGATGCACAAAATATTCGGTGTGCAGCTTCGAACCTCTTTCCCCCATTTTTTTCCCCCCAAACTTTGGAAAAAAACTCAAGTATTATCTTTACTGAAATTCTTGAGCAGCATTTTATCAAACTCCTGTTAAATTGTTATGAGGCTCAAGTTAAGAAATATTTTATCGAAAATCAGCACAGGTAAATAAAATGACGCAGGCCGCTATCTAAAAAGAATAGGCATTTTTAAAAAACAGCTAAATAGTTTAAACCGATTAGCCAGATTTTAAACAAGTTAGTAGAGAAATATGTGGCTTGATGTTGCAAGCGGCGCTATTGGCGCCCTGATTTAAAAATGAGATTCTCATAGAATTCTGAGGAATGTCGCTTAACGGGGAAACTCATTTCTGACTTTTTATAAATATCCTGCTGGAACTAGCCAGACAAGATGATCTGGCTGTGTTTTTCTCCAATCGAGTATAAATTTCACACAGGCATGTTGGATGCCCACAACCACAAGGTTATTGCAGGGCGAGAGACATCCAGGGAACGGATCGATCCAGAAGAGGTCCGTGCTTAACCAGACCTTCAGCATGGAGAGTCTGCATCCCTTTCTCTTCATTCTCGCCACCTTGCTGGGAACTTTGGCTCAAAAAGGTGGGTGATATCTTGACAAAGGAGATTAGCCCCTCCTGGAGGTCATGCGCACCCAGTGAAGAGTCATGTTTGGGGATGTGCATATGGTGGTGCATCCAGTTTTGGTCACCACAATATAAAAAAGATGTGGAGACTCTGGAAAGAGGGCAGAGAAGAGCAACAAAGGTGATTAGGGGACTGGAGGCTAAAACATACAAGGAACGGTTGCAGGAATTGGGTATGTCTAGTTTAACAAAGAGAAGGACGAGGGGGGACATGATAGCAGTCTTCCAATATCTCAGGGGCTGCCCCAAAGAAGGGGGAGTCAAGCTATTCTCCAAAGCACCAGAAGACAGGACAAGATGCAACAGATGGAAACCAATCAAGGGGGGAAGCAACCTAGAACTAAGGAGGAATTTCCTAACGGTGAGGACAATTAACCAGTGGAACGACTTGCCACCAGACGTTTTGCCCCATTTTATGACCTTTCTCACCACGGTTAAGTTTATCAATTCAGTTGTTAAGTTATCACACGGTTGTTAAGTGAATCCGGCTTCCGCATTGACTTTGCTCGTCAGACGGTCACAAAAGGGGATCAGGTGACCCCGTCATAAATATGAGCCAGTTGCCGTCATAAATATGAGCGGCCGTCATAAATATGAGCCAGTTGCCAAGCGCCCGAACTTCAATCACGCCACCATGGGGATGCTGCAACGGTTGTACGCGCGGAATAGGGTCATGTCCTTTTTTCTTCAGTGTTGTTGTAACTTTGCACATTCACTAAACGAACTGTCATAAATCGAGGACTTCCCGTATATGTGTCCCTCCGCAGATCTCAAGAACAGCGTCTTTGTGTTCCCGGAGGCCTCCGACACGGCGCACGTGGTGCTGCAGGCTAATTTGAAGAAGTCGCTGACCAGCTTCACCGTCTGCGAGAGAGTCTACACGGACCTGGCGCGGGGTTACACCACTTTCTCATACGCCACCCCGGCCAGCGACAACGACATCATAGTCCACAAGGCCAGCCCCACGGAGTACGAGTTTTACTTGGGAAGGTCCAAGGTGGCCTTTAAAACCCCGGCCCCCAAATGTGGGTGGGAGCACGTCTGCGTGGCCTGGGAATCTTCCACGGGGATCGTGGAGCTGTGGCTGAACGGGATCCCTTTGTCCCGGAAGGGGATCGGGAAAGGTTACGCCGTGAGTCAGAATGCGTCCATCGTCCTGGGCCAGGATCAAGATACCATGGGGGGTGGGTTTGACAGCAGAGAATCCCTGGTGGGGGAGCTGACCGATTTGTATTTCTTCGACCGGGTGTTGACCCCCCGAGAAGTAGCTTTGCTGAGGAAGAATCTCTTTGCAGCCAAAGCTGTCATTAGCTGGAGAGCGTTGTCCTTCCAGATCAAGGGTTACGTGGAGATTAAGCCCCTTCTGTTTGGGTCAGCTTGAAAGATGGCCTAATTAAAAAAAAAACAAAAATGGGGATATTGCATTGAAAATTAAAAAAAACGAAACACCCAAAGCTTCCTTGTGTCTCCTTCGCAGTTGCTTCTTTGCTCACGTTGCGCCGTTGTATACCGGTTAGGACAGCCACTCGTTCGTTTTCCGCTCAAGGAAGTGAGTCTGTGCGGTGAACAATCATAAAGCAATTGGCAAGAGATTGCAATTTTTTTCAGAAGAGGCTGCTCATAGCTATAATCCTCTTCCTTCTCCTTCTCCTCCTTTTCCATCCCAGTTGTCTGTCTTCTTTCCTTCTTTCCTTCTCTCCTTCTTTCCTTTTTTCTTTCTTTCCTTTCTTCCTTCTGTCCGCCTTTTCCCACACCCCTTCCTTCCTTCCTTCCTTCCTTCCTTCCTTCCTTCCTTCCTTCCTTCCTTCTTTCCTTCCTTCCTTCCTTCCTTCCTTCCTTCTTTTCCTCCCTCCCTCCCTCCCATTCTATTCTTCTTTCCTTCCTTCCTCTCTCCCATTCCCAGCTTTTCCAAAGAGTGGGAAAGGTCTGCCCTCTGGTGTCCTACGTTGGCATCTGCACCTTAAAAGAAAAAGGCTGGCTATACCAAAGGTCTGCAATAGGGGCGCCCTCTGATGGGAAGTAAAAAAAGGGCAGGATCCAATGGGGGTCAGTCACTGGGACCAGAGGTTTTGTCTTCCAAGCTCTTAGGAGAAACTTAGAAGTATCCGATGGAGAACTGAAGTCCATCACGTGCTGGAAACATCGTCCAGGAACACGTCTGAAGATGAAGCAAAACTCAACGGAAGGGCCCTCCAAACTATTTTTCTTGTTCACCTAATCAGTTAAAAAAATTAAAAATAAAATAAAATTTGAGCCCCTAAATATATGCACATATATTCACACATATATTTACACATTTACACATATATATACACACATGCAGTAGTTATCTAACACAGTGTTGTGATTCCTTGCCAGCCAGTGGATCCGGCAGCTGAGTCTGAGGAATCAGAGGAGGAGAAGGAGGGGCCTGGAGTGACATCAGAGTCAGAGGAAGGCTCTGAGATCCAAGACTTACAGTTGGACGAGGAGCCTGGCCCCTCTACTCGCGCTCAGGCTGAGACCCAGCGGTGCTGGGAGCCTGAGTTGGACAGTGATGAAGAACAGCTGGGACAAATCCCAGATGCACGAATGCGCAGGCAAGAGAAGCCAGTAGGACAGAGGAATGCAATGGAGCGGCTCCAAAGGCAAAGGAGACGGCATTAGGAAGCCACGCCTTGGCTGAATTATAAAAGGGAAGGTGTGGGAGGTGCTGGTTGCTGAAGGCAACCGTTTGTGTTGAGGATCGAGTTTCTGTGGACTGTGTTTGTTTGCCTTGGACTCTGACTCAGGTCTGTGAGAATAAAAGGGGACTGTTTTTTTCTTGCGGTTCCTTCCTGTTTCTTGGAAGAGGGGTTTCCTCTTGAGAGCATAACAAGGACTCACGTAGGTTGGGACAGAACAGACGTTGTGAACATTAGAAAGTATGTTGCAATGTAAATAATCTGGGGAAAGTCCCAAGAAAAAACTTAAGGTTAATACGCCTCTTTGTTCAAAGTTCAAGAGAAATATGCAAGCAACACCCCAGAGTTTCACCATTTGAAGAGGGGATTTGGTCCTGCAAGGAGGACAAGGCTCCACACCCAAGGACATCGGCACAAGCGTTCCTGCGATCAGCCATTTCCTCCATCGTCCTCCAAGATGGTCCTCCTTCATTCCCTCCTTCTTATCCTCGCCTGCCTGTCGGGATCCTTTGGCCAACAAGGTGAGGCTCAAGCCCACGTAGGATCAGCTCCATCTGTCCATTGAGGGTCCTGTGGTCTCCAGAAGCTGGGTGGACTTCTCTGAACCTTTCATTGGTGTTGCTCTCAGTGGGGCTGTTGCATCTTCTGTTCATGGTAGAGCTAGTTGGTCATGGAGAATGTCAAATTGTAAGTCTGTGGGTTGATTTCCACACAAGATCCTTCTGAAGTGGGTTCAGCCAAAGAGTTTCCATGAGAAAGGGGGGATCTGAACTCCTGTCCACCAACTCCTTCCTTCCTTCCTTCCTTCCTTCCTTCCTTCCTTCCTTCCTTCCTTCCTTCCTTCCTTCCTTCCTTCCTTCCTTCTTTCCCTCCCTCCCTCCCTCCTTCCTTCCTTCCTTCCTTCCTTCCTTCTTTTCCTCTCTCCCTCCCTCCCATTCTATTCCTTCCTTCCTTCCTTCCTTCCTTCCTTCCTTCCTTCCTTCCTTCCTTCCCTTGGCCTGTTCCCATGCTTGGCCCCCAGACCTCTTGGAATGTCTGATGAGTGATTCAAACTTGACCCCCTTCCCTGTACTTGAACTGAGCAGAACAGTTTCTTCAAGACCCCCTAGGTAGGTGACTTAAGACCCCCTACGTAGATGACTTAACTGGATGGCCTCTCCGCTTTACTTTGTGCTGGGCCATGTGAAATGGGCCATGTGGTGTCCTGCTGACACCAGGATCTCTTTTGTCTTCTTTTAGATCTCCAGAACAAGGTCTTTGTTTTCCCAGCACCATCTGACACGGCCGCTGTGCATCTCCAGGTCTCCAACAAGCAACCCTTGACCAAGCTGACCGTCTGTTTGAAACACTACACCCTCCTGTCCCGGGCGTACGGCCTCTTCTCTTACGCCACCCAGTCCAGTGACAACGATTTCCTGATCTTCAAGAGCCAGGCCAACGAATATTCCATTTACGTTGGGGGTTCCAACATAAATTTCAAGGTTCCTTTGAAGGAGAAACCAAGCTGGGATCACATCTGTGTGTCCTGGGACTCCAGCAATGGGCTGGTCCAGTTCTGGCTCAACGGAGTACCGTTTCCTCGACAGAGTGTGAAAAAGGGCTACAGCATCAGCCCGGAGGCCTCCATCGTGCTGGGGCAGGACCAGGACTCCTTCGGAGGGGGGTTTGAGAGCGCCCAATCCTTTGTGGGGGAGATGACAGAGGTCAAAATGTGGCCCCGGGTGCTAAGCCTTGTTGAGATTAGAATGGTCAGGAACAACCTTGAGCTTCATGGCCCGCTGATATACTGGAGATCCGTGAGCTACACCCTCAAGAACGAGGTATTTGTGGAGGAATTCCTGAGTCCCCAAGGGGTATCCACCTGAGTTGGAAGAAAGAAGAAAGAAACAAAAAGAAAAGAAAAGAAAAAAAAGAAAAGAAAATTCTCTTTGGGGGGAAAAAAAAAATCTATATTTCTGCAATGGGATACTAATTGCTCAAGTAGCCTTGAATGAATTACAGGCAGGTGATCCATGCTTGAAAAGCTGGTGTGAGCATGCTAGTTTCTTTATCAATAAAATTAACTTCTTTTGTCATGAGTCTCTCTGCATTTTTCTTCCTTCTTCCCTTTCTCTCTTCGTTCTCCTCCCTCCCTCCTTCCTGAGTCCCCAAGGTGTATCCACCTGAGTTGGAAGAAAGAATAAAATAAAATAAAATAATAAAATAAAATAAAATAAAATAATAAAATAATAAAATAAAATAAAATAAAATAAAATAAAATAAAATAAAATAAAATAAAATAAAATAAAATAA